CCGCCAAAAAAAAAAAAAAAGTTCTCAAACAAAAGAAATTATATCTATTTTATATACTTGCAACAAGTTATAAAAATAAATTTATCACTGCCTAATTTTAAAACTACACTGCAGTTACCATTCAGAACTTTAAAGGAAAGTTACCTTACTGGGCCTGATTGGTGTTTAGAAGGGAAAGGGACAGAAGAGCTCCTCCCAGTCAATTTTTGAACTAGCTTAGAACACTGCCTTCATATTGCCAACTTCCCTATTTGGCCTTGCCAACTAACTTGACTCTCCTAGCAACTCAAACTTCACGAGTCCCATTCCCTAAATACAAAAACATGCCAAACTTGTAAGTATACTAATTCTATTCTCCATCTGAGATTTCCTTGTGATTCATTTCTCAAATATCCTTAAGGATGGGAAAAAGAATCACAAAAACAAAACAGAATAATGTAGCTGTCTCGACTGTAATCTGACCATTAGTAATCTACTTTATACCACCAGAATGAGGCTGAAACTAGTCACCTGACCAACCCTGTCAAGAAACTGGCCTGTTCTAGTCATACTCTCAATGCTCACTTATTAACTGAAGAACACCAACAAGGCATTTCTGCATTAAATCATTTCCCACATTCCCTGAGCACCCATACAAATAGCCAAATACTAATGCTTATGTAGTCATCTGAGAGGAGTCTATCAAGAAGCAACCCTTTACTTCTTAAAATGCCGGAACTGTGGGCAAATGAAGAAATAAGAACTACAGGTATTTACTTATCTAGCAGCAGACATCAATATTCAGACAAGTAGTGATGTCCATTATGAAAACCTATACAATATTCCTCAACAATGAAAAAGGAAATTAAATCATAAGCTTCAACTTGAGCACTGTAATTGCGAACCCAAACTGTTCAAACTCGCTTGTGAAAAACAGGTGAAGGAAAACAAGAACTCTTACATGAGTTGTAAGCCTTTTTTCCTTCAATCCAGTCTCCTATACTGTATGTAGCCTTCAGCTTTTCCTGCTGGATATAAAGAAATGGCACCACCTGCTGCCCTCACATGTACTTTGTCCCTTAAGAGTAACATTTATGACATCTAAGACTTTATCCCTTTATAGAAGTTTTGTTTTTCTCACATCCTCCTCATGCTCTTGAGTTAAAGACTATTCAGCTTAAGTGTGGGGTCAATATCCTGTCAGTGCTGCTTAGGAATATGAATAAGTAGAACAAAGAATTTCTTGATTAAGACTTGACTAAAAAGGGGAAATACAGATAACAAATGTAACAAAGATGGTGAAAAACATCTGAAATCTAAACCAATGAAATTCAATCCATGATCCCAGGAAAAAGACACAAAAACCTACAATTACAAGTGCTTTCATTTCAGTCAGTAATAGTAAGTAACATCAGATAATACAGGGAAATGTTACAAAGTACAAATAAACTTAAATACTTCTAAATATTTTATAGAAGTGAAATATTTATTGTGGGCACATTCCATTAAGGTAGAAGTTAAAGCAGTTCTCCTTTCAAGGCTGTGATTCACAACATGTCTCCATCATTATAATTCAAGTGTTACCAGTGTTCCCTTTGGAGGCTTTTCTTTCCTTTTGAGACAGGGTCCTGCACTGTAACCCAGGCTGGCTTTGAATTTACCAAGCTCCTGATTCAGATTTCTGAGAGCTGGGTTTATAGGTTTGGACCACCATGTCTAGCTGTTCACTTTGAATTTTAATACTCTGACAGAACATGGCTTACTTCTAATATTTGAAATGTTAGAAAAATATCACCTTTGAAAGTTGTTTCTGTAAGTTAGGAACACTGAATGCAAAAGCAAAAGTCAATAAACACAATAAAGAGTTGAAGTTATTCTTCTGTTTTTGAAATTGAAGAGCCAAGTACTTATTGTGGTGGAAAATCACCTACCCAAAAGCTCAGTCCATTTTGAGATGATAAAGACATACAGATGAGCTACAGCTTGAAATGTCCTCCAGATACAGTATGCAAATTACAATGAAACCAGACATGATCTTAATTCATAATCCTCATGTAGTAAAAATTGAAAAGGAATGCCTAGGTAGTTACTATTAAGTTACTTTTTCAGCACAAAGTATTTCTAAGGTTTCAACAAGTAACCAGGCTTTGGCTTAATTCACCGTAGTGACTTAGTACAGGATAGACATGTTGGATCAAGGTCAAGGGGCTACGTAGGGAATCCCCAGAATCCTCTAGCATCTCTCAAAAAGAAAAAAAGAAATTCCTTTTTGTAACAGAAACTTTGTACTAAAGAACAAAAATTAAACATAGTAAAAGACACCTGTGTTCTTGCAGGAGATAATCTTACAAGCTTAGTTTACATCTGCTTCAATTTTACTAACTAATGCTCTTGAAAAAAGAGCTTTATGTGAAGGGCCGGACAGTGTGACCTTCAAATACAGAGGATATTAAGCTTACTAAATAACACTTACTATATGACATCGTTTGCCAGTTTGTTGTAATACAATTATTATATGTAACTAAGCTTTGTTTGCAGTCACAAATAAAATTTATTTCAATGTAGAACAAATTTTTCATGTTTCTATTAAATGTCCCAAACAGCACAATGCAATGGTGCTCTATGACTTGCAAACTTAATCTAACTTATAGTATTGTCAAACAGAATTCCACAGAAACTTGAAACACACCTTATGTGACTAGGTCAGAGTACTGAGTTCAAATAAGTGACATAGAAGTATTTTGGTAAAAGTGCCCACAGTGAGAGCAGTTTCAAAAGCTAGTCCGCTTTCTACAGGCAAGTTGTGACAGTGAACACTCATCATATTCTCTGCAATGCCACATAGCACTCACACATTCATGGGCATGAAACCCTGGACACACAAACTCATTTCACATTAGTGAACATATCAAAGATTTTCTTTTAAACAGTTCTGACTTTGGGCCAGAAGATAAAATATGCCATATATACATATATATAATTCCTAAGCCTCTTTAAAATTTCTAGTTCTAAAAATGGCTTTTTGACTTGTCTTTAAAAAAAGGAGAAAGCGTGCAATGCATTTATATTTGCACTTCTGAATTAAGGAACAATATATGCTAAAGTGAAAAAAACACTTGGGATGGTATTAATCTACTTATACTATGTACATGATCTTTGGGTATTCATGAGAATCTGTTTATCCCTTGGAGCAACTTAATTTTCTAAGTCACTCAGGAAATGTATTCAACCATTTACAAAAACAAAAATTCTAACACATTTGCCTGCACATTCTTCTACAAGGTAAGTATACATTAAAAATATTGCTCAAGACATAAAAATATATATTATTTCTTTCCTTTGCCATTTATGCATATAAATATTGTACTGAAGATGTATCCATCATTCAATAAACAAATGCAAAAATTGCTTTATATAAAGTGTAGTTCTCTGCTATTTAGCAATATAAAGTATAAAATGATTATTAAAGAGTAAAATTCAAGACATTTGCAAACCAGTACAGCAGTGAACAGTTCCTTGTACAAAAAGTCCATTAAGAAAAAGTCAGGTCAATTTTGTAACAGATTACATAAAAATAAAAGCAAAAAGAGCACTGCTTCATCAGCACATTCTTCACTTCTGTCTGGACTAGATGCCAAACTTACTGTTCACTCTTCGGTTCATCTTGTTTTCCATTAAGTTCTTTATCAACTCTGTTTAATTTTTTAAAAAAAGCAGATAATTAAGCATCAACAACTTTCTTTCTAAAAATAACAACTTTTTCGCATTGAATATTACTCTGTTAAAAAACAAAGCTTTGCAAAGAAGCAGACATGGTAAAAAGATTACCAAACATTATTTCCCCAACCAGAACGATAAGAGAACTTTTATATGGCAGGAGGACACTGGCAAGAAATGTGCATGTTGATTCTTTCAGAGATTACAAAAATACATACAAACACATTTCTTAAAAGTTCACAAGTTGAAGCTTGGCTACAGCAGGTATCCAGAGATTGGCAATAGGAAGAACAAACTCCCTCAACAGTGATTTTAACAGAAATATTAAGTGTCACTAAAGCTACCCACTGATCAATTAATACTTTAAAATCTAGTTAATAAAATGCATTCTAATAGAATTAGTCTCCAGAATTCATTGGTATACTTTGTGAATGCCTTTGTTTTGATAGTAAGAAGCCATAAGAACTTAATGTTCAAAAAGTATCTAAATGTGCATTAAAAATGTTCCTGGACTAGTGGTCAGTGGCCCCAGCAAATTTAGGTACATGGAGACTTGAAGAATTACACAATAATTATAGAAACCCTTCAGAGATCATGCACAACAGTCTACTGCTGTTATATCTGCAGTATGAGTCACTGGTATGGAAGGCAATGTTTCAGGCCACCTGAGACAATGTAGGAAGACACTGTCCACACTTGTTTCCATCATTTTGACCATCAGCATTCATTATTAAGATTACTGGAGTATGTGTGAAACAGACCTAACAGCCCTGACCTAGAGCCTAACAGTCTTGGCCTAGGATAACTACAGATTAACAACATTTTAAATATTTTTATATTGGCATGTAATATTTACCCAATTTTTTAAAAACTGAAGTATGACTAAGACCTAATACCATTATTATTTTAAAACTCTATTGAAACATTTCAACAAATGATGGCCAGGCATACCTGGCCACACTACAGTGTTTGAAGAAACTCTAGAAACATTTAAAAATGCTCACTATTCATCTTTTGCTCTCATGATAAACCTAGTGCTTATGGTGATGTTAACTTTAACTGAAAGAGTTTCCACACTACTTCCTTTTTTTTTTTTTTCTGTTGGGTTATGGGATTGTGGGGTATGAACTCAGGGTGGGTGCTGTTCCTGAGCTCTTTTTGCTCAAAGCCAGCACTCTATAACTTTGAACCACAGCTCCACTTCCTAGTTTTCTGGTGGTTAATTAGAGATAAGAGTGCCACTGACTTTTTTGCCTGCGCTGGCTATGAACCATGATCCTCAGATCTCACTCCAGCTTCTAAGTTCTGGTTTCAAAAACATGTCTCTATATTTATCCATGTGCTGAAGGTTTATGCTTATAATCGTAGCCACACAGAGGATGAGATATGAGGCTCTCAGTTTGAAGCCAGCCTAGGTAGAAAAGCCTGAGAGATTCTTGTCTCCAATTAATCAGTATAAAAGCTGGACTGGAGTGTGGTTTAAGTGGTAGAATGTCAGCTATGAATGGAAAAATCAGATCTAGAGCTTGACACCCTAACTCAAGTCCCAGTGGAAAAAAAAATTCAAAAAATATTCCTCCATCTAAACTTAATAGAGCATTTTTAGAAAGGACATTATGGAATGTATTTCATCAATAAATGCAACTCATTTTGAAATACAGGAAGTACCTAGTTTCAAAATATTCTACAAACTCAGATTGTTTTAAATTTCATCTATGTGTCTGGCAAATGTATAGCAATGTCAAGAGGGCATGAGAAATAAGCATGATCTAAAGACACTTTCTACATCTCAGTGTTGGCTACACCATTAAAGAGCCATTTAGAAATGTGATTTTATTACGTGGTTAAGTAAGTTCTCACCAACAGAGGCAAAGCTCATTATTAAGAATGTTCCAGCCGGGTGCCAGTGGCCCACACCTGTAATCCTAGCTATTCAGGAGGCTGATATCTGAGGATCACAGTTCAAAGTCAGCCCAGGCAGGAAAGGCCGTGAGACTCTCATCTCCAATAAACCACCAGAAAATTGGAAGTGGCACTGTAAGAGTGCTTGCCTTGAGCTGAAGAGTGCAGCATGCCCAGAGTTCAAGCCCCACAACCGACAAAAAAAAAAAAAAAAGAATGTTCCAGTAATATTTAGTTGTTTCCACAGACAGCCAAAATAATACAAATAAATTTCTCATCTTAAACTCTAAGGTTCTATTAAACTGTGTTTTACTCATCAGTGAACAATTAACAAATCTACAAACAAGATGGACGTGGTGGCACATACTTGCAAGCCAACACTAAGGAGGCTGAGGCAGGAGGAGTGCTGGGTTTGAGGCCAGTCTGGGTTACATAAATGAGTGTTTTTAAAACAAAAAAGTTCAAAATAAGTGTATTAACAAATTAGAAACTAATACACTTTTCTGAATTTCCATATAAACTAGTAACTAATATCTTTGCCTTCCATCTTCTATGCCAAGCTTTTAATAGACAATAGGTTGTTATGCCCAAAGCAGAAGTGTTCAAAAAATATTTAAATGAAAGCAGAGTGTTTAACTGTTAAACGGTTCATTTAGGTATTTTATCACATGTAGAATTTGACTGGTTAGCAGGCTATTTAATTTAAGCATACAAGGAGAAAAATGTTGGTTAGCCAAAGAATATATGCATTGCAAATATAATTATCAACCCCAATAAAATAAATTGATTCCTTAAAAGCTTCTGTGAAAATATTTATTTGGTATCAGACAGGGTCCCGATGGCCTTCAACTCATGATTTTTGGCCTCAGCTCCTCAAGTGTTTGGACTACAGGCCAGAAACACCAGACCTGGTTAAGGGCTAATCAGATTTTTCATTTTTAGTGCTGGTGATCAAATCCAGAGCTTTGGTAGTTAGGAAAACACTCTATCACTTGAGCTACATTCCCAGCTCTGCATAAATATTACAAAAGCAACATTTGAGTCTTCTGGTATTTTAAATACTATGCTCACTTATAACTTCTTTGGTTTATTCAAACCAGTAAGGAAAGAGGGGGTTGAATTCTTAATTGACATTATATCTAGTATTAAAACAGGGTGAATCCAAGTCATATGCAGCATCAGAAACTTTAGATTCACCTTGTATTGGATGTTGGGGTATATTTATATTTACAAGTGCCTTTATCTTTGTCTACAAGCTAACCAATCAATAAGAGTTAGTCTGTGCAATGCAAATGGACTAGTCTAGATGCAACCCAGTCAAGGTGTGCATATACCTTTTTTGTTTCTTTTTAAACTTTTCTTCTTCATACCTTGGTAGGGAAAAGTTATTTCAGTAAATAAATGTTACGAGATTAATAAAAACATAAACAAAAAAGGTACTACTAAAAAAAATTTTTTTTTAAGTTTGCAAGCCCAACCGTTTAAAAGAAACACTATGTAGAAAACAAAGACTGACTCAATAAATCTGGCTTGGATACATCAAACTAAAACCTCAGACTAACAGAACACAGAAACTTCTCTATGTAACAGCAGTGTGATGCTCACTTATTTATGTTAACAACCTAATGCCAAGTCTTTTTAGGGGTTCAAGAGAAGTAAATTAGTAACCAGAACAAATTCCAGTCACTGGAAAATACTGAGGTTCAGCTGATTTAAGTAAGTTTCTCTATAGCAACATGATATTTAAAAATAGCACGAAAAGTTTACACAAATTTTGAGAGTAACATGCTACAGTAAGTTTGCACAAATTTTGAGAGCAACACCCTCTATTTGGAGAATGTTCCTTAGTATTGACCTATCACTGTATCACTTCTCAGACTGTAAAGACTATAAATACAAACTGAATCTCGACCAGGAATCACTTCTCCCTTCAACTGGGAGCCTGAAGAAAACAGTGACTTCGGGGAAGACATGGAGAGATGGCTTCTTCTATTTCTTTGTTATACATACATGAAGTGAGATTAAGTATTGAAATACAGTACACCTTGCACATCAAAATGTAATGGCTCAATACAATTTAAGAAATGAAACAAAAACATACTGTTTTATGCATTCTGGTATGCCAACATATTCCATGGGAACAAGCTCCGCTAGTTCTGCCAAATTAAAGACATATCTAATTTTTTGGCTGAATTTTGAGCTGTGGAAAGAAAAACAATTACCTCAATAGTTATAATATGACAAAAAATTTATACAAAGAATTTTTTTTAATCTCAAGAGCTCTCAGAGATTACCTAATAAATGGTCTTGTAACAGCCAGAAGTGTCCTGATAAACCAGGAGGGATGTACAATAATTAGGGATTTTAGGTTTTTCCGTAACCTGGAGTTTAAAAAAGACAGAAAAGTTAGGAATTTCTACAATTTTTAATGCTAAGACATGTGCAAGTTTATACAAAATAACTAAAAAAATAAGCCATTTCAAACTTCTCAGTTAGACATGAAACTCCTAAAGTCAATATGGTCTTGAAATCTGAGTGTCCCGCCTACTCCTATGAAAATTTTAGTAACGTTCTACCAAATTTATGTCTATAGTATAGCCTGTTGTTAAATGTCTCCTAGTAATACATTCCAAGACTTTGTCAGCCAGGCCAATAATGACTGTAACAGTAAACTACTTTCATGTCTCAAGACCGGGAGAAACTGAAACTCACTCTCAATACCGTGCCAGGCAGTGCATAGGCAGACATGTGAGAAAAAAATGACCAAAGCAGTAAGCACCATGAAGCAGATCTAATCGTTATTCTTGAGTACTTTAAGACTTTGATTAGGGACTGGGAAGGTATCTCAGTGGTAGAGTGCCTGCCTTGCATGCATGAGGCCCTGGGTTCGATTCCTCAGCACCACATAAGCAAAAAGGAAAAAGCTGGAAGTGGCACTGTGGCTCAAGTGGTAGAGCACTAGCCTTGAGCTGAAGAGCTGAGGGGCAGTGCCCAGGCCCAGAGTTCAGGCACCATGACAGGCAAAAAAAAACAAAAACAAAAAACACTTTGATTAAAACTTGAAGGCATTATCCCAGATTTCTTTTTAAATGACCAACTATAAAGTTGTTCACCATGCATATTTCACACAGATAAAACAAGGACTCTATACACATATGTGTATATATATTTTTTGTTTGTTTTGTTTTGATTGGTTGTGGGACCTGAACTCTGGGTCTAGGCGCTGTCCCTTAGCTCTTAAGCTCAAGGCTAACACTCTACTACTTGAGCCACAGTGCCACTTCCCGATTCTTCTGCTTATGTGGTGCTGAGGAATTGAACCCAGGGCCTCATGCATGCAAGGCAAGCATTCTACTACTGAGCCACCTTCCCAGTCCCACATGTGTATATTTTTTAAACCACAAAAGCTAATGTTTGAGTTGATTATACTAGTTTAAATTAGCCATAAGAAAATCAAACCAATTCGAAGACTAAAGTATAATTTCCAAGCCAATAAATACAATCTAGAGTTTGTTCCAAAGGAAAATTACATCTAAATAAGAAATAAAATATACTATTCAGTCAGGTGCTGCCGGTGGCTCACATCTGCAATCCTAGGTACTCAAAGGCTGAGACCTGAGGATCTTGATTTGAAGCCAGCCCACATAGGGAAGTCCATGAGACTTTTATCTCCAATTAACCAGCAAAAAGCCATAAGTGGAGCTATGGCTTAAGTGGCAGAGAACTACACGAGCAAAAACAAAAATCTCTCAAAGACAATGCCTACGCCCTGAGTTCAAGTCCCAGGACTGACATGCGCACGCACGCACGCACGCACACACACACACACACATGTTAAGCATTACAAATTAGACAAAACATTAAATGTACTACATTCTCCACTCTTCTCCAAGGTACAAATTAAAACGTGTTCCGAATTAAGAATAAGGAAAAATGAAGAACAATCTTGTAAGTTATTTTGAATAATTCCTTAGAAAGCAGACAAAAATTATCAAGAGTAGAGCCTTAAGGAAAATACTATTTAAGAAGTAAATATATAATCCTTAAGTGGCAACAGAAAACAAAAATCCAATAAATCCACTATAAAAGTCATTCACACTTGCTTTATGCTTATATTTCCATTACCGTCTATCAATTTGTTGATAGCATTTCCTGAGCCATCCCAGACTGGGCATTTTTCTTCGAGTTGTTGCACCATTTAAATAGACTATCATGTAGTTTTCTGCTACTAACAGCTCCAAAGTGCCAATAACATATCTGTAAAAAACAAATTAGATATAATCTTCACTGTGAAGAACCGCACTGGCTTCTCTAAATTAATAGAAGTCCCTTCTCTCCCACACAATGAGGGAAAAATATAATTACAATTAAAACTGCATTAGTGGATATTATGATTATTTAAAATAGTAAGTTCAAGATACATATTAAAATGTCTACAGAATACAATGGACATTGTCTGGGATTTGTTTCAAAATTTCACAGTGGGGAAAAAGCTGGAAATGAAGTATAAATTGTTAACTGCTGAAAAGGGTGACTGATAAAGATTTCATATATTTCTTTCCTTTTGTATGAGTTTGAATTTTTTTTTTCCGGTCATGGGGCTTGAACTCTGGGCTTGGGCGCTGTCCCTGTGCTCTTCAGCTCAAGGTGAGCACTGTACCGCTTGAGCCACAGCACCACTTCCAGTTTTCTAGTGGTTTATTGGAGATAAGAGTCTCACAGACTTTCCTGCCCAGGCTGGCTTTGAACCACAATCCTCAGTTCTCAGCCTCGTGAGTGGCTAGGATTACAGGGGTGAGCCAGTGCTGCCCAGCTATGTTTGAATTTTTCCACACTGAAGATTGTAAGACCTGGGCTGGGAATGTGGCTTAGTGGTAGATTGCTCGCCTACCACGCATGAAGCCCTTTTGATTCCTCAGTACTACATACACAGAAAAAGCCAGAAGTGGTGCTATGGCTCAAGTTGTAGAATGCTATTCTTGAGCAAGAGAAGCTCAGGGACGGTGCCTAGGCCCTGAGTTCAAGCCCCAAGACTGACTTCCCACCTCCTCTCCCCCAAAAAGATTATATAAGAATCTCACCAACCCGAGATGAATCACTCTATGAAAATTGAAGAGTCAGCTCATTACATGGGATTTCTAGGGACAAATGTAATTTAGCCATGTGATTTTAAGCTGAAAGTAACTTCCTTAAATTTAATGTGCCTGCAAATGTAAAATAAATCAGTTGGAAAAAAACCCCAAAAACATTCAAGGCAGGGCCTAGCTACTCAGGAGGCTGATCTGAGGATCATGATTCAAAGCCAGCCCAGGCAGGAAAGTCTGTGAGACTCATGTCCAATTAACCACCAGAAAACTGGAAATGGTGCTGTGGCTCAAGTAGTAGAGCTCATCAGCTCAGGAATAGCACCCAGGCCCAGAGTTCAAAACCCACAACTGACAAAAAAATAAAAAAAAACATAAATTCAAGAAACATTTTCTAATTTTAAAATGCCAATCTTCCTGTTGAGTTGGAAAACCAGTTTTACAATGCCTGAGAATAGGACTTGAACAATTACAGCTGAGATTATTTATAGCTTTTATACAGCTTAAGTTCATTTCCTGAACATAGAAGTCTAATTAATTCAAAATTCTATCACACATTTTGTTAGGCTATACTTACTTAAAGAGATTATCCATCAGGTATCTATAGTTAGGCTGGCCACTTTCAGGCATAAAACAGACAGCAAACACAACAATGGCATTTAACCCATCTCCATAATATCCTGAAAAAGAAATGAAGATGTAATTTACCCGTGTGAGTTTACTCTGAAGACTTCTGAGACGTTATCTGTATGGCTGTTAGAGAAAGACTGACTTCAACTAGCATAGTAAAAAGCCAATCATATTTAAGTAAGCAGAAAAATATAGTGACATACACAAGCAGACACACATAACATACAACATCTGAAGTAAATAAAGCACTCCAACTATGGTTAAAATGGTTGCTATTTTTTTTTTTTTTGTCATGGGACTTGAACTAAGGTCTTAGGCACTGTCCCTGAGCTCTTTTAAGGCTAGGATTCTACCACTTTGAGCCACAACCCTACTTCCTGTTTTCTTGGAGTTAAATGGAAGTAAGATTCCCAGGGACTTTTCTGCCAGGGATGGCTTCAAACCGTGATCCTCAAATCTCAGCCTCCTGAGCAGGCAGGATTACAGGCATGAGCCACTGGTGCCTGATAGTAGCTGGGTTTTTTTTGGGGGGGGGCATGCGCGCCGTCCCTCAGCTATTCAGCTCAAGGCTAGTGCTCTACCACTTGAGCCACAGTGCCACTTCTGGTTTTCTGGTGGTTTATTGGAGAGAAGAGTTTCATGGACTTTCCTGCCTGGGCTGGCTTTGAACCTCGATTCTCAGATCTCAGCCTCCTGAGTAGCTAGGATTATAGGTGTGAGCCACCAGTGCCCAGTGGCTGATTTTTTGAAAGGAGATATTACAATAAAAAACTGGATATATATCTGACATATTCCTTGGTGAAGAAAACTACAAAAATGTATTTCAACTAAACCTTTAACTAGTAAGCTATATTCAGTAATCATGCTTGAAGTCATTTCTATTGTCTGGTATAGATCTGGTATTTCAAGAACATTAGAGTCTTTACTAGCTTTCTTAATAAGTCACGAAACATATTAAGTGTGGTAATCCAATAAGATAAGATCCCTAAAGAAAGTGAAGTGCTATTTCTGAAAGGCATTAGGTTTAAGTTATAAGGCAGGCCTTACAAGTTGATTTCTATGAATTAGCTGAATTAATGCCTATCTGTGGCCTTTCTAACCTAGATTATCTTGCTTTCTTCATCTTGAATAAGATTAAATTAGGCAGAAGAATGTAACTGCAAATATGCAAGTGATTTGCTTTCAGATGAATAAAGACTGTAGAGATAAGGGAGGCAATGTATTTGGTAGAGAGTAAAGTAAGTGGAAATAATTCTGTGTGAGGAAAAAAATCAGTTTGCCTGCCTACTGGCTCCTCTGGGCAGTGTTAGGTCTTAAGGAGACCAGATGTACTTTCCAGAATAAGATGCATTCTTACCTAATATTCTGACACTATTTGCACAGTGCCTATGCAAACTCTATATAGTAAGTAGTACAATTAAGAATGACAGGAGTTAGAACTTGAATTTTCATTGCTTTCCTATTTGACTGTAAATTTCCTAAGGGAATGAACTAAATTTTATTATTTCTGCACATCTTTTTTTTTTTT